TGACGAGCCTTTCAAAGTGGAAGCAGGAAAAATGGAGGTGCATCATCTTCCTCTCCAAATAAGCTGTCGAGTTGCGGTGCAGAACTCCGTCGCACAGGAAAACGCAGAAATCTTTGGACATACCAATTGAAAACCCTGTGAAGTTTTGACATTATCGTTATGTGCCGCGTTAAGAATAATGCAAAAGACAGTTTGAAATTCAATTTCATGTGTTTTTTTGCTATCCAGAGACCCAAAAACCCATCTGGATATGCAAAATATATATATATATATATATATATATATATTTTGCTGGCAGTCTGAACATGGCCTTAATGAATCAATCGATTAAAAATCCAACCAATGCATTTTGAAAATTAGTTTTAAATGGTTTAATATTTAATTATTTAATAATCAATTAAAAGTGCTAAATATCAAACCCATTGTGACAATATTTTAAAATATACAATATTCAAAATATCAAGTATCTTTTTTTCATCCTTAACAGGATTGCACTGGCTCTTCAGCCCCTACGCAACTCTCACTGAAATTAAAGTAGTCTCTCATTCTTCATTTTCTTGGCTATTATTTGAAAGTATTTTAAAAGTCCTGTATACGTACTGGTAAAAGTTACTAAACTGAATGGCTATTCCTTGTTCACTCTGAATTGACTTTTGAACTGAATTGAATGAGACATGAATGTTGTTGAACAAGCATTGAAGTTTCTATAGACAGTTGATATGCAATACCCATGGGGCTCTGACATGAACAAACATGGATAAGACTGATGAAGTTTCTGACCTTGATATTGGGACAAGGCTGATGCTAATTTACACACTGTTTTGTTACAGAGAACCATGGGAAACATTCCACGATGACAACTTTGTAAGAGTGATGAGCCTGAAACAAGGCCACATGGTCTGCTACAACTGACTGAGAGATTGGAAATTCAAAATATAAATAAAAAAAAGCTGAAGAATAAAGCTAACTCTTATAGTTGTCAAAACATAAGCTTAAATAAATGGAAATATCCATTTAATCTAGTAGAGTGATTCAAAAATCTGAGACCACACTGAAAATGTGTAGTTCAAAAACAGAAAGAATTAGGATTTTTGAAATGTTAAACAAAGAAACATTATAACGTAAAGTGAATAAACAATATGTAACATTCTGCACCATTTCTATGTAATGTATTCAAATAAGTGACCATGTGCAAAAGATCAGATTTTCTTGCTTCCATTGAAAATTCTTAAACAAAATTCACAACTGGATTGTTTGATTGCATGTTGATCATGCTGTTATTTTAGCAACAAAGGAACTTATTTATGGAGAAAAAACGCACATGTCGAGTCGTTTCCGTTGAGCTGAATCAAAAGAAGGCACAGTGCATAGTTACATGACTGTGATTCCACACACTTCTTAAATTATGCATCAAAGGACTTCTTCAGCTCCAATCCATAAGTTTCAAATATCCTCCTGATCACAAGTTGAGCTCCAATAACAGTGTTACCACGGAAGCCTGGGTTATGTAACGTTACATAACAGACAGGCGGTATGAGTAATATTTCATAACACTAGAGACCCTGACACCATGGCATCATCTCTCCTTTGCTCTTTTCTCTCACTTCATCTCTCTTCTGATGTTGAAATCAATGGCGTTATTTTCCGGAAAGTTCCCTTGACGGCCATTGATGGCTCAGTATCAAACGGAGCGTGTCGTTGTGGGGCGGCTGTGTTTTTCCCCCCTCTGCCTCTGTCTGTCAAGCACTAGACTAGACACTTTCCTCATCCAAATTTTGATATCAAAGAGTCATCAAATTCATCCCCCACCCTCGACTCTGTTCGCCCTGATTTCTCTCTCCCTTCAGTCCCCTTGAGTGCTGACAGGGTCAGGCTAGGGTCACGGCACAGATGCACGCCATCCACCAACAGGCCATGGCAAGCAACCAATCACAGACAGGAGACTGCAAAACCACTATCATGATGATTTTCTGAAGATAATGGATTTTATATTGCTGCAGATTAATAATATCAACAACAAGCTCTTTGTTAGATCAGACGTTATAAATACGAAAGCTACAAAATGTACAGTAGATCCATAACAGGAACACCGAGCAGACATATTCGACCACATCCTCTTTATATATATTTTTTTCATCCATGTTACCCCAAAAAAATAAAAGCTAAATATAAACTTGTTAAAATGGGAAACATAAAGCATGAAGAATTAACTAATATTAAGTTGTTATTGCTTGTTAAGCCACTGGTTCAAAAGTCAAACCAATACAAAGAAAAACAACACCACCACAACCACAAGTGTAAAGAATTGAAAAATGAACATGACCAAACAAGAACCAAAAGAAATCAGACCTTTCATACAAAAGAATTCACACGGTCAGTATCACTCATTTGATTTTTGAGAAAGTCAGTCTTTTGAAATCCAGTTTTTGCTTATGCATTTAAAATGTATTAAAGGGATAGTTCACCAAAAAAATGAAAATTCTGTCATCATTTACTCACCCCCAAGTTGTTCAACAGAAGACACGTCGTCTTCATGATTATATTTCAACAACAAATTGGAGTAAAAACATATAATTAAATTTAGAAGTTAATGAAAAACTGCCTCATGTGCGGTTTACATGTTTTCATACAATTTGTTATTTGAGTGTTGATTATATCTAAAAATAAATAGAAACTGAATTTAGGCTTATAGTCTGGGTTCTGTTGTTAACCTTAAATATTATAGTAATGTACAAGTAAGGGCTCCCTAGATTACAGCCTTAGCAGAGATTTTTTTTTTTTTTTTTTAATGTAAACTTAATAAACTTTTAATTATAACTGAATTCATTTAAAGACAGAGACACAATTTGTTCAGTAAACCACTGTTTAATAAAAATATTTAGTTTTCTCCACTCTGCTGTACCGAAACGTGACGTCAAAACCGAGGTACATACCGAACCGTCAGTTTTGAGTACCGGTACCGTTACACCCCTACTGATGTTAAGAAATACACAGTTCCTTTAAACAAAGTCTGTCCATAAAAATTGCACAGCACACATAATGCTCATAAACACAATACAGATATACAAAACATAAAACAACTATATGTATCAAAATGATAGTTCACCCAAAACTGATTTACTCACCCTCATGTTGTTCTAAAACTGGAACGTAAAAGAAGATATTTTTGAGAAATGTCTTTGTAATTTTGCCCATACAATGGAAGTCAATGGTCACCAAAACAGATTTTCCTAAATGTCTTCTTTAATTGTTCCACAGAAGAAAAAAAGTGATACAGGTTTACTTTGAGACAGCATGTAGGTGAGTAAATGATGACAGAATTGTCATGTTTGGATGAAAAATCCCTTTATTATGTATAGTTTCCCATTTAAAATGCAGAGCAAAAATGAAAACTTGCTTGAGGAGAACAACCTTACGAAAACCACAAACACACTTATTCTCATTACAAAATGCTTACAGACACACACCCACACACAAACAAATGTTACACCTACCAGATCCAGGTGCATTAAGGACAGCAGCAGAAAATGATCAAAACCAGACACTCCCTCTGTACAAAAATGTGGAGAGATACCACAATAATCCACAAAAATCTCATCCGGAATGAAAGGAGGGAGAAATTTCTCAGAGGAAACAGAGGTACGAACATCACGACACACACAGACAGAGCTGGAGCATTTGGCTTTTGTGCATTTCAACAACAATGTATCTGATTTAATGCCTCGATGCACCGAACAAACCCCTGGATGAGATGTGCACTTTACCACATGTGTCCACGATCTCGGTGCGCTCTTTCGTTAGTGGTTCCGACGATATATCTCCCAAACGTTCGCAACAAAAACGCTTTAGATTGTTACTTTTCCGAACTCAAAAACTGAGCGTGCCTTTTTGCCTAGAGCTAATTGTACAAGTCAACTATGGCACACATACAGGCCCGAGATCTGTGGCCATTGTCTCGGATTCCCCTGAGCTAGCGGTCGACCGGATGGATGGACGGACAGTTGTGGGGGTTCCCGGATGAAAGGATGATGGGCAGAGGAAGTAAGGGGCATACTGGGAACGGCACGCAAGACAGAAACAGGGAAAGAGAACGACCCCCACAATTCCAAGCACGGTTTACCCTCCTGCATGTTCAAGCATGCATGGTGAAATACACACGCACTCACGACACACGCATGCATGCAGAATCACTTACAGACAAAAGCTACCGTGCAAACTAACAATATATTTGCAGCACAAGCATTAGACAAGGAAAAGTGAAGGAATGAAGAAACGATAAGTCCGTTCTCATCACACATGCTTTGATTCTTTGCTTCGCCGATGCCTGAACGCTGCACATCCCCAATATCAGCCCCGCACAATATGAAACAAGGCAACCCATAGCAAAACTATACGGTTATTCAACAAGACGAAATTGAGGAAACAAAAATAGAGAAAAAAAATAACGCTTTTGAACATGATTTCAAAAAGTGAACGAGAAATTGTAGGAGAGAATGAACAGAGATAAAGTTGAAAGATACAGATTGACAGAATGGGATAGTGACTGATGAAAAAGAGAGAACTAGAGGGTTAAAACAGAAAGACGAGAGTACCAGTCTGGTCGTTCCTCCTCCTTTTCCCGCGGTTCCGTTGATCCCACGTTTGGTTCTTTCTCTCGTTGCTCCGGGTCCTTCCTCCTCTCCGCTATCCCAGCGGCAGTCACTTCTCTCATCTCAGTGTTTCCTTCCAAACCACGTTTTTTTCCTACTACCCATCCCATCAGCCCATTTCCTACTGTTCATTCAGCACTCTGTACTGCTTTCACACTATGAATGCAAGATTTTTGTGGGATAGGGCTGGAAAAATATTCAACAAAAAACATGAATAAAAATTTTTTGAATGTAAGTGAAGTGCAAAGGAGAGCGGACGGTGACCAGGCACCGAGACAAGTAGGAAAATGAGCTGTTGAAGGGGCCTGGTATTTTAGGGAGGCATGCAGAGGGGTGGGGGGGACCATTAGAAAAGGCTGCGCGTGTTTCTCCGTCCAGGAGGGAGGAACACGGATGAAGCTGCCAGGCTGCGAGGATGAGAAGCACTGCAGTCGTCGGAGAGAGGAAGAGAGAGAAAGAGAGAAATCGTAAGGGCGCATGTGTACGCGGGCGACCGCATGAGGAGGTGGGAGGGGAGAGAATGACAGAGAGGGAACGATAGATAGAAAAGCGAGGCTAAGGGGTTCACAGGAGGGAGGGAAGGAGGAGGAGTGAGCCATAGCCGAGAGTTCAGGGGAGGGGGCCGGAATACATTTTCTTGTCCTCCGCTCTCATCTCCCGGCGTTCGATTTTCTTTCATTTGTTCTTGTGTGTTCTTCTTTTTTTTTTTATCCAATCTCACCTTCTTGGTTCCAGGGCAAATATCTGTGCCTGGAAAAAAAGCGGATATTCCAGTCTGTGCTTTCCCGTTCCGCTCTCCGTCTCACTGTCTTCCAGGTCATTTTCTCCACATGCACTTGAACTCCAAATCCTGTCTGCCGGCCCCTCCCCCCGACCTCTGTGACTCGCTCTCCTTCTGATGGAGGCTTGAAATAGTGCTCGCAGGCTGTAAGTGAGAGTGAGAGCGAGGGGAGGACGAGGGGGACAGAAAGGGAGAGAGACGTGGGGGGAAGGGGAGAAGGTTTACACGAACAGACTCTGTGCCGAGAGTGAGTGTGTGTGTGTGTCAGACGGAGAGAAAATGAGAGGAAGAAACCCTGTGCACATACATGTGTTCAGAGATTTGGTTCTCAGAAATTACAGTGAACTGCAAAAAACATTAATTCTTGGAACCAATTTTAAACAGGGCCATCTATTGTCTTTGAGGGGCCATGGCTCACTTGATACCCTAGGCGAGATACGATATGAGCAAAAAAAAAACTATTTTTAACAACTTAGTAACTCTTTACATATGTGCTAAACCAGCGGTTTTCAATAGGTGAGGCGCGCCTCCCCAGGGGGGCGCCAAAGAGCGACAGGGGAGGCGCGACACGCGAAGAAAAATTAACTGTATGCAGCTCTTGAGCTCTATTAATATCGGCTGTGAGGAAAAAAAGATTTTTGGGGGGGAACTTGCATGCGGTTTAATATTTTCGAGTCAATTAATTTCACCTACCAATCATATGAGAGGAACGCAGCTCTAACACGTTACAAGCCTATCAGAAGCAGAGCAGGTCCAGGCAACACAGTATGATTGAGATACGTCAGCGTCGTCGGTGAAAGCATGGAGCGCGAGTTAAAAAATAAATAAAAAATTGGAGCGCAAGTTCATGAAGCCTGGGGATGATGTCCTACCCACGGGCGTAATTTCCTATGCGGACAGGGGGGACATGTCCCCCTACACTTTTCAAAATCCCGTTTGTGTCGTTTGGAAAGAAAGAAATATCTGAGAGACCGTTTTGAGGCAAATAAATGGAAATTTTATAATTATATAGAGTTAACACTGCGTAAGAGAGACCAAGTGTGTCCGAGCATTAGTAAATTGGTCCATAGTAATATATAATTACTATATAAGAGAAGAGGCATGGTTCGTTCGAGCAAGTTCGATAAATGGACAATAATATGTTGTCCAAGCCGATTTACTGTGCATGCGTGGTACGCGTTCACCGAGCGGACCTCAGCAGACAGTAAATATACAAGTAGTGCGCGCCATAGACATAATAATTATGTCTATGGTGCGCGCCCATGCTGTCCGCGGCTGTCCATGTACGCGTCCAAACTGGAGTATATTTTGTGCTTCACACACACACACACACACACACACGACGCACAGAAAGACACGCGCCAGTATCGAGTTATCTTTCGCGCTTGAACGAAAAATAACACAGACATTTAGGCTATGCCAAAATGTCCGTTTTGTCGAGTATCTTCACAAGAATAGTCTTAAATGAGTTAAATACAATCTTAAATGAAAGTAAAGAGTAGTGAGAGAATGAGATGCGTGAGATCCTGTCAGCAGGTCTTAAAGTGACAGTAGCCACTAATTCTCACTAATTCAGTAAAGTTAACGAAAGAACAAAGAGAACATAGAAAATTACTCACTACTCTTGAGTAAGGAACGCTTGTAGCTTTAATAACGATTAATCTATATTTCATTTATAATTTATGCAGTACGGACTGTTTTATAACCTTATTCAATTTCTGTATATTTCATACCTGTTAGACAGGAAAGGTACGGGCAAATATGACATTTATTATGGGTTTAAGTGAGGATTGTTTTAAGTTAACTTAAATTAAAAGTTGTTATATTTTTTGAAGCTTAAAGGGTAAGTTCGGTATTTTACAATTAAAGCCCTGTTTTAAGATCGTTTCTAAAGAAATCGAACGGTTAAGATTAAAGTTTGGACACATGCTGCTGTCCCGAGAATTTTAGGTTTATTTGGTAGCTCCCCCAACCTCTACAATGCTTTCATAGCATATGAAAGAATCATTCATAAAACGCATATAATAAAATACCGAACTTACCCTTTAATGTACGGAGCAAAAATAATTTTCATGGAGACATCATAGCTATATTAATATCAGTGATACTGGACCTTCATTCATAAAAAAGATGCCATTAACATACAGCCATAATACTTGAAAATAAATCCATTGAAGATAAGTCCGTCTGTGCGGTTTCTCTCCAATCGGCTTTGGCGCCGATTACACGTTAAGCATGTTTTGTTGACTTGTGGTTAGGCCTACTGACGTTCAGTGATTTTAAATTAGGCCTGCATGAAGTTGGAAATGATTTGCTGTTGCAAAGAATCGTTTATGAATGCACTTTAAAAAAAGTTGTGGAAATAAAATGTCTTCAAATACAATATTAAAAAATTAGGGCTGTCAAATGATTAATCGTGATTAATCACATCCAAAATAAAAGTTTTTTTTACATAATATATGTGGGTGCATTGTGTATAATTATTATATATATATAAATACACACACATGCTTGTATATGTTTAAGAAATATTTTCATGTATATACTGTATATAGATTTATATATAATTTATATTATATATAAATATAAATATTTTATATATAAATTATATTTTTTTCTTAAATATACATGCATGTGTGTGTATATATATATATACAAAATAATTATACACAGTGCACCCACATATATTATGTAAAAAAAACTTTTATTTTGGATGTGATTAATCGTGATTAATCATTTGACAGCCCTATAAAAAATATTTACATTTTATCTGTTTTTATTGAAACTCTTCATTGCCTGGAACACACAAAAGATGGCATTTACTGCAGAGGCGTGTGGGGGTTAGGGCAGGCGGACAGGATTTTGGGGAAGGTGGGGCTCGGCTGTCCTTACCTACTGTAAGGGGAGGCTCACATTCACCCAATTTGAAAACCCCTGTGCTAAACTACTGATCATCATGGATTTTCATTGTATGGAAAAAAAACATGAGATTTCTATAATGGCCTAATTCCACAGGACAAAGTCATACAAGTTTTGAAAAAGAGTTGAAAAAAGTTTTGACTGTCAGTTTAAAGCAAATTAACTGATTGGACTTTACCACATTTAGACATGTTAATGGGTGGTTATGTCATAGAATTGTAGACAACTGTTTTTTTTACCTATGATAATCCATATATATATATATAAATATATATATACAGATGCCTCATTAACGGCTGTTTCTATGGGTCGCTATACATAATCCGTCCAGCATATTGGAGTGATCAAAGCCAGTCCATGAACATTCGAGAGCAAGTTGACAGTGTCTGCAACCATAGTTAGACGCATATATCAGGGCTCTAGAATGCGACCAATTTGGTCGCATATGCGACCAAAATTTGTAAGGGTGCGACTAAATTTTTTCCTAGGTCGCACCAGTGCACCTAACCTTCTCGCATGATCGCATCCGTTGCCTCTCAACAAACGAGTCTTTTGTTCTCCTTGCACGCTTGGTTGGATCATATCGTGGTCTAAACCAATCAGAGATAGAGATTGGGCTGGTCTTTGCCTCTGATTGGCTGTGGTTCAGATATTCCTGTAGGACTAAAATGCTCCGTGCTGTCTGTGTGATAGAACTAAATTGCGACGTGAGCACCAGAGAATCAGTTACGGCAATCAGCAGCATCAGCTAAATAAACGCAAGAAAACAGACGACGAAGAAACTTTAAAAAATGTAGGCTACTTGAACTAGGTAAAAAATATTGATTTCTCGATTTTAATCGATTCTCATTTTACGAACCGTTGGGCTATGCTGTTTTCAGTTGATGAATGAATGGAACATGTAGCGAGCATCCCATCCAATAAATCGCAATAATATTTGTGCTTTGTTACTATTGATATGAAACAAAGTCTCAGATTTCAAATTAGGTCCATTTTCTTATGAAATTCAAAAACATAAATAGTGTTTTGACGCTGTTGCGTGAGATCGCTCTGGCTCAGCTCAGCCCCAGAGAAGCAGCAGCGCGGAGTGCACATGATCTTCTCTTCCGCCTTAATAATACCAGTTACAGCGCGAAATAAACATGAACGAGCATCTGAAAGTGTGTTAAAAGATAGGGTACAACTTATCGAAATCCGTATCTTTCACATGGAATCGCTCAATCAGTGTTTCAACCGTGGAAAGACGTCAGTAAAACGCTTGTAAACAATGTCATGTAACGTCACATTTACCTCAGAAAAAACATATCCAGTGACCATAAACTCGTTAGCTAGCTAGAAAAATTAACTCTAGGGAGGAGCATTTTGCCAAATATATGCACCATATTGCATATTAACCCTCTGAGACCTAAGGGTATTTTTAAAATAAATTTTCCGTCTGGTGTTATTTACTAAAAAAGCTTGTAAAACATCAACCCTTTTGTGCACAGACAATTGACACACCTCTTTTTTTTCAGGACAAATTGAACTTTCAGCATATTTGTGTTGCATTGATGTCACCTGAATGTAAAATAAGTTATGGGACCACAAAGACAAATGAAAAAATAAAACGGAAATTGAATCACTCAAACATTTATTGAAATCACACACAAATAAATAAAAGCTAAGCAAATGTCCTCTGGAAAACAGTTTGTTCATGTCTTTGGAGTCCTGGAGCACAGGAATAAACATTATAACTTGAACAGAACCAAAACTATTTACATTTTTCCAAAAGAAGTCCAGGCGTTTTGGGCCTCATGAAATTCACTGATGCCAAGCCTCAAAACAGTTCCTATCAGGAATCACACAGAGGGCCACATCACAGGCTTTGCATTTCCAGGGGGTGGCCTGTTTGACCATATTTAGAAAATGTATATTTTATTATATTAGTTTTTTTTTTTATATACTTTTACAGACAAACTATGGCAGACAAAGTGTAATCCACAACTCTGTAACAAACATAGAAAAACGAAATACTACTTTTACAGAACTTATTTTTACATATTTAGAAAATGTATATTTTATCATATTAGTGATAATATGATATTGATATATCATAGAATAGTGATATTCACTTTTACAGTAAATAAATAAATGGAACTTATTCTTCAGCAGGGTCTAAGACCATCCAGGTAATCTAGTTCCTCATCAGTCAAAAAGCTCTTTTCTCCAGAAAATCCATTATCCTCCATGGGATCAAAAAAGACCAGCGCTTGATTTAGATCCATGTTTCTCAATCTGACGATCCATTATTCAAAACTCGCGTCTCTCTGTGCGTCTCTCTCTCCACAATATCAGCCTTGGTTCATGCGTAATGACGCACACCAACGTGGATGACGGATCAGCCTGTCATTGGTCAACAACCTCACGCAACGCATGACGTGTTATCCAAAATGGCAGCTAGCATCGAGCTAGCGGCAAAAATGACGGATAATGTATAAATTATGGACATCAAGTCGATAAAACT